CTTCCTTTGCCGCAGGAGGCCCTCTGCACAGGCATGGCCCCTGGGAGTTTGAGTCCTCTCCCTAGTGACTGATTGTGGAGAGTGGAGGCCTCGCCATTGGTGGGACAGGGCGGTTTCCTCAGCCTGGTCTGTGTTATACTGTGGGTTTCAGAAGACAGCCCTCAGTGCCCAGTGTTAGGGCAGCTAAAGTGCCAGTCTTGTTAAACAGCAGCAAGGACTTTACGTCCTGTGCTTGTGTTTCCTACCTTTGGAGTTATATTGTTTGCAAAAAGCAGAACAAGATGCCTTCCTAGTCATTTAAACACAGCACACATGAGCCCAATTGATTACTAGAATGTTTATCTGTCTCTTAATCTGATTCATGTTTTTCTGTTGGTCGCATTATTAGTGTTCACAGCATTATTGTGTGTCCTGTCTCTGATAAGGGCGGATTATGTTTGCTAGTGTTTATGTCTGTGTACTGAATGTACTCTTTCATGACAGTGAGTTATATTTATTATTGTTCATGATTGTATGCTGAGTGTCCTCTCTGATGAGGGGGCATTAAAGAAGCAGGTTCTTCCTGCAGAAAGCTGGTCCCCTGGCACTGCTGTCAGTCTCCTGGGGTTCTGCAGGTATAGGCACTGCCCCCAGGCCACCTCGCTGAGGTCTGATGCTGCCCTCTAAGTGCATCTCCAGAAGAACTCAGTGCTCTGCGTAGAACAGGACTCGACCTTCTTCTGGCTGCTACCAGATCTGCCCTGCTCTGGGCTGGGTGTGATTAGGGCAGATGGCGTGTTCAGTGTGCTCCACGTCCTGGGTGGGCAGATGAGGTGTTCAGTGTTCTCCATGTCCTAGGTGGGCAGATGGCGTGTTCAGTGTGCTCCATGTCCCAGGCGGGCAGATGGCGTGTTCAGTGTGCTCCACGTCCCGGGCGGGCAGATGGCGTGTTCAGTGTGCTCCATGTCCCAGGCGGGCAAGATGGCATGTTCAGTGTGCTCCATGTCCCGGGTGTGTTTCCCGGCACCAGTAAGGAGGTACAAATTTGGTACAAACTTAGTTTCCATAGCAGAAGTGTTTTTCAGAAGACATTTTGGTGACTGTGAGCCAGTAGTTAAGGCTGCTCTGCTTTTCTGAGCTCTG